TGACATGCAGTCACAATCATTTTAGTAGGTAACTCCCGCTGCTAGAAGACCCTGCTGAGCATGTTCAACAGCTTCAGCACGTCGGTGAGGAACATGAGGAGGAGCACATACAGCTTGGCGGCGTACTCCTGCAGCATGATCATGATGGCCGAAAGGACTTCGACAAGGCGGATGACCGCCTCCCCACGCGATAGCCAGTAGATGTTGTGGATGCCCTGGAGCTCAAGGTTTGTCGACAAGAACACCTTTTGCAGCTCCAGGAACCATTGATGCCAAGGGTTGGATCGACCGAGGAGCTCAGCGATCTTACGAATGAGGTCGTCGACCATGCTGAAGACCGGGATGTCCTCGGCTCCTCCAGCGCCTCTCTGTGTGGTATAGGGAGATATGCGAACATGCTAGTGATGGGCATCATTAACAAACAATTAAAAAAAAAATATGACATGCACACTGCAAACAAAGAACAAAATAACCGATGGGCAATGCAATGGCAAGAGACAAGGTGCGGAACGCAAAGACAAAGGCGGAACATGAGTCTAGAGCGAGATCCTATCATGACGACAGCGCCCCCAGTGCTTATGCCAGAGATGCGGACGAGGTCGATGCCGATCGCCTGCAGATGGGACAGCAAGTGTGCAAGAAGCGATGCCGCATCCGCCTTATCCCTTGTTAGCAGAGCCAGGTACTTGGATACAAGCCTCCCTTCGCTGATGAATGGGAAAACACGATCATGTGCTTGCCATGGTAGCAATCGGTGCTTTTGTCGAGGCTCAGGCCAATGTAGGGTCTGTCCAGCAAGTGTTGGAGTTGAGTCGTCTGCAGCCTCGTTGCCGTCGCTTGTGTCAGATTGCCGAAGCCATACCTGTAACACGATACACATAGGCCTACTCGATGTAAGTTTGGATATGTTTGTGCATGACAACACGAGAACTTCAGAGTCAAGGGAGTTCTCACCAGTTGTAATATGTGATGTAGACATCCTTTGGGACGCCCTTGAAACCGCGCGCTGAGAGGTAGCACACCAAACAAATCCATGTTTCGATGGGATCGTTACATTTGACGCAGAAGTAAAGGGAGTCAAGCAGGGCGATTACTCACTCTTCTTCGTCGGCCGCACGAGGATGCATGTCGATCGCTGCTAGTTCGACACCACTTGTAGGAGATAGTCCTACTTGGACATGGCAAGGCGATGATTTTGCATCCCCGCGTGCTTCTTGAACAACTGGTCTGCACGCCGGTAGCTCCCTTCCTCGATTTGCAGGTATGCCATGCAGGTCGTGCATGCACTGCGCATACACTGCACTTGAAGGCCGAGAGCCCATCGTCACTTTCCGCTGCGACTACGGCTGCTGCTGGTGCTGCTACTGAGCTATTTTTGGTGCTGCTCTAGTGCACCAGCCCTGGTCCCTTTGTCTGAACCACCATCCCTGCCCCCACCTCCACCACCCCCACCACCCCCACCACCCTTCCCTCCGCCACGCCCCCCCTTGGGGCGACGACCCCTGCCCTGACGCGGCTGCGCTGAGGCCGCAGCGACGGTCTCAACGGCAGGGGCTGTCTCAGCGACAGCGGCAGAAACGTCAGAGTAAGTGCACTAGGAGGGAGCACAACCCTGAAAGATTGCGACCGCCGCAGTACCACTAGATTGAGCGATAGTGCACTGGCGGGTCTCTATCGCGTACAGGGCCGTGACAAAGGCGGTAAGGGTGAGGTCACCAGGGTGCTGAATAAGGAAGTGGTTGCGGGTAGTGGCAAGGCGGTCCGGGAGGCATGTGACAATGAAGTGCAGGGTAGCGCAAAGCACCGGCGGGAATGCAGTGAGCTGGGCCTCAGTGCTAGCGGCACGGTAGTTAGTCTCAAGGGCACGGAGGTGAGTGGCAAGGTAATTGACAGTGGGGACGGACGCAAGATCGGGGAACAGCATGGGGAGGATCAGGTGGCCAGTACAGGTTGTGGCGGGCGTGGAATAGCGGGCAATGACTGCATCTAAGAATTCCTTAGCGTTTTCTACCGTGGTAAAGCGGGGACGCTCAGACAGGGGGAGGGCGTGACTAATAGCATGCTGCGCTACGGCGTCGCGCGACTCCCAGACAGCACGAGCAGAGCACATCGTCTGCCATCCTACGACCTCAGCGGCTGACGGCGGCACGATGGCACGATGGCACGACGACCCGACGACACGGCGGCGCAGTGGCATGGTAGCACGGTGGCATGGTAGCACGGCGGCACGACGGTACGGCGACACGGCGTTACGGCGGCAAGGCGCCACAGCGACACAGCGACACGACGGCATGGTGCCACAGCGGCATGGCACTACGGTGTCACAGCGGCACGGCGCCACGGTGGCACGGCGGGACCGGGGTCAGCGCGAGGGAGACCGGCAAGGAAGGGGTCGGCGTGTAAAGGGGGGGGGGGGGGGGACGGCGAGCTGGGGGCCGGCTAGTGAGGGGTCGGCTAGTAAGGGATCGGTGAGCTGGGGGCCGGCAAGCTGGTGGGCCGGCTAGCTACGGGCCGGCAAGCAAGGGGCTGGGGAGCTCGGGACCGGCTAACGAGGGGCCAGCGAGCTAGGGGGCCGGTCCGCCCGGGGCCAGCGAGCGCGGTGCCGGTGATCGCTGGCCAGCGAGCGCAGGGCCAGCGGGTGTGGGCCAGCGAGCACGGGGCCAGCGGGCTTGGACCAGCGAGCGCGGGGCCAGCAGGCTTGGACCAGTGAGCACGGGGCCGGCGAGCGTGGGCCAGCGAGCACGGGCCAGCGAGCGCGGGGCGACGAGGACGGGCCAGCGAGCGCTGGGCGACGAGCGGGGCCTGCATGCTAGGATTAGGTCTAGGACTAGAGCTAAGACTAGGGCTAGGACTAGGGCTAAGGTGGAAGCGCGGGTGGGCGAGGAGGGCCTAGCCTAGCGTGATACCATCTCAAGGTAACGAATTGACTAGAATAGGGCATACATGGTAGTTTTGTTCTAAGTGTTGTATTCTCTATGGTATGCTCATAACTAGCCTATAAACATACACAAATATATACACGTTGACAGAAGCATCAGAATACACTAGTAAAAAGGTATGAAATATCAGTGCAGTTACATAAAGCTTCTATGAAAAGTCAAAGCAAGGTAAGAAAAATAAAATCTCAGAGTACAAAAAAAAAATAAAAAAAATCTCAAGATCCTTTGAATTAGGATAAAAAGTCTGCAATTTGGGGGCCTACTTCTAGCTATTGCTTTGCGCCTGAAAGCACGGAATTTTCCAGACTATGGGGCATCCTTCGTACTTTTGCATGGCGAACGTGACTACCACCAGTGCACATGCCACTTTATGGCATATATAAGGTGCGAAGTTTGGGGAAAAATGGATCTATCGGCCTTTCCTATAATCTATTGCCAATAATGATAAAAGCGAGTTTCTATGAAGTATGATCAAAATCATAGATTTTTTATTTATTTTATTTTTGTACTCTGCCTTTCCCTTCCTCACCACCGCAGCTGCTGGCGACCTCGTGCCGTCCTCCCCCTCGTCGTCTCAGGTTGAGCCACGCCGCCGTTGCCTCGGGTGCCGCAGCCGCCGTCGCCAGGTGCCTCGACACCACCGCCACCGCCGCAGTCGCCGACGCCGCCGCCGCCGTTGCGACCCCCCGTCGTCGTCGCCACCTCGATCGTCGAAGGGTCGACCGGCTGGTCGGCGCCACTGCTGCTGCAGGGAATGAGGGTGCACGAAAATGGGGTGCTTGGGATGGGATGGGCTTGCCATTACCAAGCCTAGGGGGTGTGTTAAATGATATGTTTTATATAATCGTAGGCTTGGTAGTTGTGCTACTTACTATATTCTACTGTAAAAGGGGACAAACCCCATTCATGTATCTCCTCCTTTTCTAGTCCTTCCCTCTCTTCTCTCGACATTTTTCCTTCCTAAACCTCACGCCATTCCATGGCTTCTCCTTCCCCCTAGCTAGCTCATTGTAGTATTCTAATAATGGCTACCCTCGATTCTGATCTTGACGTAATAGACATGCAAGGAGATCAGTAATGAATATCGTGTTTCTGATTCTGATCCTACTTTGTATGAATTCGCCCTAATACTGTATGCTCCATGTATGGTACAAGGATGTGGACTTGAAAAGCAATTGTACTCATTCGAAACCCACCATGTACAAAAGAAATTGTCCCTTGCATCTAATGTTGCATGATACCACACGATTGCTTTTACAGTGGGTTTCATTGTTGATATTATAGAGAAAAGTGTTTAAATGACTAAAGTATGACGTGAAAAGGTTTCATGCTCTATGTTTGTCATGTGCGTCATCCCAACGTATTCCCCACATATAATGACGTTGCAATTCAGTATAGTTCAAGATGCAGTATGAACAAGAGGCGACGAGATCGTCTTAGGGTTGCGGAGCATTTCATGATGAGACTTTATTATACATAAAATGTTTTATTTCCATCACAACAAACATTTGATTTTTATTTCACAAACTTGAAAAAAAACCAGCCCGATCGATTGCAATAGGTTGCTCCGCAACCCAAAAAAAGTTTTCTGGAGATGGTAAAACGGGCATAGTGTCAATCTGTGCCGAAACCGCCGAGCTTCAGGTATGGCGAGATAAACTCGGAGTCCTGACGTGGCTGCACAAACCGAGCCATCTCAAGAGGTTCAGCTCTGGGTACCCTGATCTGAACCGGCTGGTTCGGCAGTCCAGGTTGGCTGGTTGGGCCCTCAGATCTTTCAAGATTGACGTTCAGTCTCCCCCCAACCTCTATCACTCTCTCCCGCTCCCCCCCCGGATGTTCCTCCCTCTCCCTTCCGCCCGAACCGTCCGTACTTCCCCCCCACCACCGTCCTCGACCTTCCCTCCACACCCATTCCCCCCTTCTCCCCCTTCCTCCCTCTTCCTCCCCCCCACCCCCCACCCCCTTTCCCCAATCTTCCTTACTCCAGATCGTTCCTGTGTGCGTCTGAAATGTTATGGGATCCCGCCTGGCCTCCCTGCAGGCCAAATCAAGGTTCCTCGTGGAAAAAGTCCTCTCTGATTAGGGTTTCAGCTTTTCCATCTCCCTCCATCCGCTTCAATTTCCGCCCCCCTGAATCCTCGGGTTACAAGTCCCGTTCCCGCTACCTCGGTTCGACATTCTTTATTCCTTTCCGAGCTTCGTTTAGGCTCACCGACATTGTTTACGTCTGCATGGTATACGTGCTATGGAGTCTCTGAAGAATGTGTTGGCTTCAAAGGAAGGAGCTGGTGGATCAGTCGCGTCCACTGGTGGAGGGACTAGGTATGTTTTCGTTCTGCTCCGTTGGCTGTGTCTCTCAGGTCAACCGGAGTGCATTTTGAAGGTGGATTGTTCGTCATTTTTCTTTTCTGGTTTGATTTTCCTGTTACCTGATATCACGCCGATTAGTTGCACATTCTGCTTGTGGTATCGAACCGTTAGCTTGGTCACTGGTCATAGCGAGTCCTTGCCATCTCTGGCGCCTGTGAGCCTCCATATTTGTCCGTTGCGTCATTGATTCCGAAGGTCGAATCGGCAGTTTTGACTCTAGTTGTTCCTTCTCAGGCATTCTGGCTCGGTTGGTGAAACCTTAATTAACTTAAGAGCCAAGTATCAAGAACATGCCCATCTTTTCAACAGTACATCTGGTCTAGTTTAGTTTCGCGCGAAATGACGATACTTTCAGCGGCACATGCCGAGGGTGATACGCAGTGATGAGCTCGGATCCAATGCTCCACTCTGGTGTCCGTATTCTTGCTTAAGAGTCCTGTATAAAAAAACTCGTTTTGTCGTTTTTAGTGGCGCTATTGGTATTCAATGCATGAAGATATTTCCATCGGCAGCAGCCCTTTCCCGAAATGCTGCATCGGCTAGTTAGATTGCATCAGTTTTTTTTTCGGTGAAAACTTCCTTCACCGTGGAATTGTACCAGTCGCTCTTTTTTCTAATTTCAGAAGTATAATGCCGACCTGTCATTTTCCGTATCTTAACAGCGAGGATGGGACCTTCAGTTTTGGATTTTCGCAACTGCGAGGGAAGCGTCTGTTCATGGAAGATTTCCAGGATGCGCGGATAGCGAAGGTCGGCGATCAAATTATTGGACTGTTCGGTGTCTTCGACGGTGAGTATCAGTGTACCTTTCATGTTTCTGTCGTATAATGCGTCTGCAAATGTAATGACATTATTCCGATTTGAGTGTTGTCGGCGAAATAAGGGGTAACGAATGCTGTTCGCGATGATTGCATTCGCATGCTCCTAAATTGTCAGCTAATCAGCGTGCTTGTCTTCCGTCCATGCTGTTCTCTTCAACAGGCCATGGCGGCTCTCGTGCGGCCGAGTATGTTAAGGAGCATTTGTTCAAGAATCTCATTGACCATCCAGAGTTTGCCACCAACATCAAACAAGCAATCTGTAAGTTTGCACAGAAACGTCTCTGCGAGACCTCACCCCTTCGGCCTCGTGCCCCCGCCCCCTTTCCCCCCGCATCTCTTCCACCTTCCCTCCCTTACATTATTCCCTGCACCTACTCTTTCCCAACCCTGCTTCCCCAATCCCTGTAGCCCGGAACCCTGTCTCCGAATAGCAGTCTCCCATTCCCTGTTCCCATCTCTGTTCCCCAATCCCGTTACCCGATCGCCGTTCCCTATTCCTGTTTCCCAAACCTTCTTTCTACGACCCCCCTGCCAGCGGAGACGTTCAAGCGGACGGACGACGCGTACCTGAGCACGGACAACGGGCAGAACCGTGACGCGGGTAGCACGGCGTCGACGGCGGTGCTGATGGGCAAGAAGCTGCTCGTGGCCAACGTCGGAGACTCCAGGACAGTCGTCTGCAGAAAGGGTCAAGGTATGTATGTCCACGCTCGTGTCTCCGGACTCGTGCGTCCATGCTCTGGTGACCGCCCTCGTGCGTCCACGCTCGTGCGTCCACGCTCGTGCGTCCATGCTTGTGCGTCCATGCTCGTGCGTCCATGCTCGTGCGTCCATGCTCGTGCGTCCATGCTCGTGCGTCCATGCTCGTTGCTCCCCATCTACGATGAATCCGTCACACCACACGCCTGTCTCCCCGCCATGCTCGACACATGCGTCTTCTTTGCAACATGCGCTTCTGCGCACTCGTATTCACCTTTCTCGGATTCTGGGCAGTATTTGTTCGTATAAGCGAGATAGCTTGATATCTACAGTGGCATCTAACCAGTTTGCTCGTTTCCTTGTTTGTTTGTTTGTTTGCTTGCTTGTTTTCTCCTGGGAACGTTCTCTTGTCATGGCGACCACACTCTTCCACAGCAACCCCGCTCTCCAAGGATCACAAGCCGAACCGGGTGGACGAGAAGGAACGTATTGAGCAAGCGGGTGGATCCGTCATGTGGGCAGGTGAGCCCCTGGCATCCTTGCACCCTCTCACCTTCGCACCCTTCACCCTAAAGCACACTGGTCGAAAAACACACCGGTCGAAAAGCACACCGGTCGAAAGGCACACCGGTCCGAAAGCACACCGGTCGAAAAGCACACCGGTCCGAGAGCACACTCACCTTTGCACATCTCACCTTCACACCTCTCACTTTCGCACCTCTCACCTTTGCACCCTTCGAGCTTCACACCAGTGCGTCGTCTCATTATGTGAAGTTAGTGTATGCTTTAACAGTAGCATTGTAGTTGAGCACTTGATCTTTCATAGAGCCATGTGCAATCGAACATCTTCATGACTCTTGAATGGGGGAGGTGTTCCGGTATTATAGCGCCATTGCGGCAGGCTGGTGGGGAACGTGCTCGATGCTGGCGTTTTCTGCCGCGTGTTTCTTTCCCTTGCACTTGTGTGTATGCTTTCATGATTGTCCTGCTACCTATCCTTCCGCCTGTCTTGCTGCCTGTCCTGCGGCCTATCCTGCTGCCTATCCTGCTGCCTGACCTGCTGGCGGGCCTGTAACCCTGTCACTTCGCATGATTGCACGTCTCCCCCGGTCTGCAGGAACGTGGCGAGTGGGTGGCGTTCTTGCCGTCTCTCGCGCGTTTGGAGACAAGCTACTCAAACGATACGTCGTTGCCGAGCCTGAGATCGAGGTACGCAAGCCATCACTCGCGCACTCAAAGAGACATCTCCACAAAAACATACTATCTGTGCTTCGGACAAACTAGCTCCAGACTAGCCACACCCACTCTTCGTCGTTGCTCATGTCCATATTGTCTCGTTTCCCTCCCCGTGTCCTCCCTTTCGCCTTTATCCTCAACCCCGTCCAACTGCTCCGTCGCTCCTGTGCGCACAGGAGTACGATGTCACCCCTGAGGACGAGTTCCTTGTGCTGGCCAGCGACGGCCTCTGGGACGTCGTCAAAGACCAGGTCAGTACCATCATTGGAAGAGTTGGAATTGTTGGATTGTTTTCCGCATCTCCTCCCTCCCCTCCACTCCCTCCCCTCCCTCCCCTCCCCGCCTTCCCTCCCTCCCCTCCCACCCGCCCTTCCACCACTGCGGGCGGGCACACTTGGCGTTGGTGAGGCTGCTCCAGTGTAAAGCATGAATCGTATGGCTTCCCAAGCCCCGCTCATGAACTGTTAACGATCCTAGCCTTGTTATTTGGGCTGTGCATTGCATTTCTCCACATGTGTTTCAACAGTGCTATCCCTCTTCCCTCCCCCTCTTCCCCGTCTTCCCTGTCCTTTATGCCTTCAACCTCATCCCCGTCGGACCCTCTACAACGCACCTCTACCCCCTGCAGGATTCCATCAACATGGTGCAGCAGACACTGGACGCAGAAGATGCAGCCAAGTTTCGTTTTGAGGCGCCTCATACTAGACTCCCCTCTCTTCCCCTCTATCCATCCACCCCCCCCCCCCCCCCCCCCTTCTGCAGGATGCGATCAACATGGTGCAGCAGACGCTGGACGCGGAGGAAGCAGCCAAGTTCCTGACGCAGGAGGCGTACCGCCGCGGCAGTGCGGACAACATCACCTGCGTTGTCGTGCGCTTCCTTCACGTGCAGGACGCTGCTGCCAACCACTAGATGCTGCTGCGATGCGACCTGTCACGGGCGTTGGGCCGTTGGGGCATTGAGGCACTGGGGCGAGTGCCGCAGAGCACGGACACTTGTAGTGCAGGGGTGTAGGGTCCAGCCTGGCCGCTAGAGCTTTTACTGTGTACGGTAGTGCAGCGGACATGTAGTAGTAGTGGTGCTCACTCACTCTCGTGATCGTCCTTCGTTCTCTCTCCTGCCTCCCCGTTGCACCTCGTTCATTATCACTCGCATGCCCTCGCTCTTCCCCGAGCCTTCCCTCTCTCTCTCATTCGCTCCTTCCCTCTCACACAAATGCGCTGAAGCAAGCAGCAGCAGCAGTAGCAGCAGCAGCAGATTGGTCTCCATCACGACACGAGCAAGCGAAACGTGACGGCATAAGATGGTTGCGAGCAAAGCTTGAGTGGGTGGGTAGCACCGGGCAGGTCAAAAAGTTATCACGCACGTGTAGCTCTGGACTGGAGGAGTGGCGTGGCAAGGGGCAGAGCAGGGTTGAACGGGGCAAGTTGTTTTTTATTTCCTATCCTTTTTCCCCTGCTTGAATGGTGGTAACCTATGCAATTGCAGGCACTGGCAGGACTGTTAGTCCTGGGTCCTCTCGGTGAGATCAGGAAGGGTGGGAGTGGGTAAGGGTGAGCGTGAATTGTTTGCTTGAATGGTAATTCCTTGGCACTGGGCAACTGTCTTGCCGTTAGAGTCATCACTGGTGCTGGTGTTTCCTTATTTTGGAATTTAACACGGCACTCGTTGAATGTTCAGATACATATTGTGATGCACTAGTTATGCAACTATAGTAAGATTTTATTCCTGAAAGGATGGGTACACCAGCAGTCTGAGCGTGTTCGTACAACTCTTATCAGGCTCGCCCCTTGGCAGACGCGTGATGGACTGCACAGCGCGATTACGACGCGAGCTGCTTTAGTGCGGTTCGGATCGGTGGAGCCTGAGGCTGGAAAAAAGTTCGCTATGCA